AGATCAGCCACTTCCGGTTGTAGTCGGTTTGTCTGCTCTTCCGGTTAGGGTGGGGAAAATGATGTGTAGCAAGTTTAATCCACCTTACAAAATGGCAAAGTAGGTTTTTAGATCAGCCACTTCCGGTTGTAGTCGGTTTGTCTGCTCTTCCGGTTAGCGTCAAAAAGTTTGCTTTATGCAACTAGTAAGTCTGATTATGTGAGGTTATGATGAGGTGGTGCTGGTTGAGGAAAACTTTTGTAGACTTTGTTATGATGAGGTGGTGCTGGTTGAGGAAAACTTGCAGACTTTGTTATGATGAGGTGGTGCTGGTTGAGGAAAAGTTTTGTAGACTTTGTTATGATGAGGTGGTGCTGGTTGAGGAAAACTTTTGTAGACTTTGTTATGATGAGGTGGTGCTGGTTGAGGAAAACTTGCAGACTTTGTTATAATGAGGTGGTACTGGTTGAGGAAGATTTTTGTAGACTTTGTTATGATGAGGTGGTGCTGGTTGAGAGAGAGATGTATGTAGACTTTGTTATGAAGAGGTGGTGCTGGTTGAGGAAAAGTTTTGTAGACTTTGTTATGATGAGGTGGTGATGGTTGAGGGATACTTTTGTAGACTTTGTTATGAAGAGGTGGTGCTGGTTGAGAGAGAGATGTATGTAGACTTTGTTATGAAGAGGTGGTGCTGGTTGAGGAAAAGTTTTGTAGACTTTGTTATGATGAGGTGGTGCTGGTTGAGAGAGAGATGTATGTATATTCCGCTTTGTGTACCTAGAATAGAGAGAAAAGGGGGGAGGTTGTGTATTGTATACAGTGATTAAAGTGTCATTTGTATAGAGTTTATAAATGATAAAGTAGAACCTAAATCTGTCAAATATTATAGCTTCCTAACGTCGTCTAAAGATTCTGTAGCGGCAAATAAGTTGTCGAATCATCGTTAATTGTGTGAAACTAATAGTACACATAATTTAAAAAATATGTAGAGTGTAGTGCGAAAAACACAACATTTCTTTGTTAAAATACATAATGTATGCCCTCTTAAAAACGTAAATGTACGTATTACTTTAGAAAAACGTGTATATGTGTTGTCTTAGGAACCAAACATAATTGTCGAAGAAACATAAATGGTCCAGGATGTATTGTACAATGATCCTGGGATAAACTAAACGGTCCAGGATGTATTGTACTAGGATCCTGGGATAAACTAAATGGTCCAGAATGTATTGTACTAGGATCCTGGAATAAACTAAATGGTCCAGAATGTATTGTACTAGGATCCTGGGATAAACTAAATGGTCTAGGATGTATTGTACTAGGATCCTGGGATAAACTAAATGGTCCAGGATGTATTGTACTAGGATCCTGGGATAAACTAAATGGTCTAGGATGTATTGTACTAGGATCCTGGGATAAACTAAATGGTCTAGGATGTATTGTACTAGGATCCTGGGATAAACTAAATGGTCCAGGATGTATTGTACTATAATCCTGGGATGAACTAAATGGTCCAGAATGTATTGTACAAGGATCCTGGGATAAACTAAATGGTCCAGGATGTATTGTACAAGGATCCTGGGATAAACTAAATGGTCCAGGATGTATTGTACTGTAATCCTGGGATAAACTAAATGGTCCAGAATGTATTGTACAAGAATCCTGGGATAAACTAAATGGTTCAGGATGTATTGTACTAGGATCGTGGGATAAACTAAATGGTCCAGGATGTATTGTACTATAATCCTGAGATAAATTAAATGGTCCAGGATGTATTGTACTATAATCCTGGGATAAACTAAATGGTCCAGGATGTATTGTACTATAATCCTGGGATAAACTAAATGGTCCAGGATGTATTGTACTAGGATCCTGGGATAAACTAAATGGTCCAGGATGTATTGTACTATAATCCTGGGATAAACTAAATGGTCCAGGATGTATCGTACAAGGATCGTGGGATAAACTAAATGGTCCAGGATGTATTGTACTAGGATCGTGGGATAAACTAAATGGTCCAGGATGTATTGTACAAGGATCCTGGGATAAACTAAATGGTCCAGGATGTATTGTACTATAATCCTGGGATAAACTAAATGGTCCAGAATGTATTGTACTATAATCCTGGGATAAACTAAATGGTCCAGAATGTATTATACTAGGATCGTAGGGATAAACTAAATGGTCCAGGATGTATTGTACTAGGATCGTGGGATAAACTAAATGGTCCAGAATGTATTATACTAGGATCGTGGGATAAACTAAATGGTCCAGGATGTATTGTACTATAATCCTGGGATAAACTAAATGGTCCAGAATGTATTATACTAGGATCGTGGGATAAACTAAATGGTCCAGGATGTATTGTACTATAATCCTGGGATAAACTAAATGGTCCAGAATGTA